TAACGGAAATGAAAAATAATTGACTATATTTAATTAAGCCTATACAAACAGACACTTAAAGGGAAAGTTCACCCCAAAAATTCAACTTTCTTCTGTTAAGCATAAAATAAGATACTTTGAAGAATGTTGGAAATAAGTTAGCCGTTGACGTCCATAGAAGGACAATATAAAAATAAATACAACCGTAGTCAATGGCTGTTTTTTCTCCAGCACTCTTCAGAATATCTTCCTTTGGGTTGAAACAAGTGTTTAGTGTGGTAGTCATTTACTCCGTGTTGTTCTGGCCGTGACTGTCTTTTTGGTGTGTTTTTAAGGGTGCAATTCAGGGTCCAGAGGAGTTCATGGAGGGCATGGCTCTCGGCGTGAAGGCTCTGGTTGGAGGCGCTGTGGGTTCGTTCTCGTTTTTTTTACAGCATGCATTAATACACTGATGTACAGAGTGGGCCATTTATATGAATACACCTAAATGAAATGGGAATAGTTGGTGATGTTAACGTCTTGTTTGTGGCACATTAGTTTACGAGAGGGGACACACTTTTTAAAATGGGTGGTGATCATGGTGGCCATTTTGAAGTCGGCCATCTTGGATTCAACTTTTGTTTTTTCATTAGGAAGAGGGTCATGTGACACATCAAACTTATTGGGAATTTCACGAGAAAAACAATGGTGTGCTTGCTTTTAACGTATTCTTACGTACTTTATTCTTTCAGGAGTTATTTACAAGTTTCTGACCATTTATAAAATGTGTTCAATGTGCTGCCCATTGTGTTGGATTATCATTGCAACCCTCTTCTCCCGCTCTTCACGCACTGATAGTAACACCGCAGGAGAAATGCCAGCACAGGCTTCCAGTATCCGTAGTTTCAGGTGCTGCACATCTTGTATCTTCACACCATAGACAACAAAGATAGTGGGGCCATTCTTCATCAATAGAAACCTCAAGGCCACTGGATATTTGAGATTGCTCCATGATGATGTGTTTCCAGTTTCTCCAGCAAGCTGGTGCACCACCACAGTATGTGTGTCAGGTCCGAGCATTCCTAGATGAACAGTTTCCTGAAAAGTGGATTGGTCGTCGTGGGCCAGTTGAATGCCCCCCAAGGTCTCCCGATCTGACCCCCTTAGACTTTTATCTTTGGGGTCATCTGAAGGCAATTGTCTATGGTGTGAAGATACAAGATGTGCAGCACCTGAATCTACGAATACTGGAAGCCTGTGCTGGCGTTTCTCCTGCAGTGTTACTATCAGTGTGTGAAGAGTGGGAGAAGAGGGTTGCATTGACAATCCAACACAATGGGCAGCACATTGAACACATTTTATAAGTGGTCAGAAACTTGTAAATAACCCATGAAAGAATAAAGATACGTAAAAAGCAAGCACACCGTTGCTTTTCTTTTAAAATTCCCAATTTGTTTGACGTGTCACATGACCCTCTTTCTAATGAAAAAAAAAAAAGTTGGATCCAAGATGGCCGACTTCAAAATGGCCACCATGGTCACCACCCATCTTGAAAAGTTTGCCTCCTCACGTATATGTGCCACAAACAGGACGTTAACATCACCAACCATTGCCATTTTATTAAGGTGTATCCATATAAATGGCCCACCCTGTGTACAGTTTCACTGATGTATACAGTTTCTACAAAGATAAAAGAAATCAGTTATTAGAAATAAGTTATTAAAACTATTTTGTTTAGAAATGTGTACTTTCCGTTAAACAGAAAAATATAGAGGGGGGGCTTATAATTCTGACCTCAACTGTATATTGCGTTATTGAATGTTAACATCGGTCTATTTGTTAATGAACTGTGCACTTGTGGATTTAGAATGAATCCAGTCGTAAGTGTTCAGATGATGGTTGATAAAAAGATGTGGTGTGATCAGGTGGTCTGGCCGGAGCGGCGTCTCGCATCACTGGAGCGATGGCTAAAGGTGTGGCGGCGATGACGATGGATGAAGAGTACCAGCAGAAGAGACGAGAGGCCATGAACAAACAGCCCAGCGGACTGAGAGAAGGACTGACACGAGGAGGAAAAGGACTGGTGTCTGTGAGTCAGCTCAGTAGGGGTAAAGTACATCCAGGAGGTTGTTATCGTAGAATAAAGCCCGACAGGATTATTGGTAGCTCGCTGCAAAGCGAAACACTTTAGTATGAGACTGAAGGGTTTATTCTCTGATAACAAACATCCTAGATGTACTTTATTCTTCTTATTACATGGCTACATGCCACAAAACATGAAAAATTAGACACAAAACATTGTTCTGAGCTGTGATAGTTTATTAAAGCTGACAGAAATGAAAACAGCTGATGGAGTATACACTAACCTGCGCATTATTCAGACACAAGATGGCGCCAAACAGTCAAAAACACAAAGCTGATAGTAATGAAAACAGCTGATGGAGTATACACTAACCTGCGCATTATTCAGACACAAGATGGCGCCAAACAGTCAAAAACACAAAGCTGACAGAAATGAAAACAGCTGATGGAGTATACACTAACCTGCACATTATTCAGACACAAGATGGCGCCAAACAGTCAAAAACGCAAAGCTGATAGTAATGAAAACAGATGATGGAGTATACACTAACCTGCGCATTATTCAGACACAAGATGACGCCAAACAGTCAAAATCCATGACGTTATAGACAAGCAGATACACATGAATGCAGGAGTTTATGGATGTAAACATGTACACTGGTGGTTGAAGTTCCTAGATGAGTTGATGTTATTTAGCAGATAGCAGTTATCTAGAAATAAATTACCTTGGAATGTATGTCACAACTGACCAATGAATATTATTTTATATATAATTTTTTTTGGGGGGGGGGGGTTTCACCTGTAATGGAAAAGACAGCAGTGGAGATTTACAGACAGGAAAGTGAGTGGAAGGATCGGTTAAGGACCTTGAGCCGGGAATCAAACTCGAGTCGCTGTGAACACCCCAGTGTTATGTGTCGACGCTCTTAACTACTAGAGTTTTTCACTTGATTATTTGTTTCTTTTGGGTTGTGTGTGTAATTATGATCTCTCCTCATCACACAGGGCTTCGTGAGTGGCATCACGGGCATTGTGACCAAACCCATTAAAGGTAAATTTGCTGACCCGCTGTTGCTTATGTTTATACATTTAGCAAACGCTTTTATCCAGAGCGACACACAACTTAGGAACAAAGTGATTCTCTTTAGGTTTAGCAGTCTCGCCGTGAGTGTGTGTTTGCATGTTTGTGTGCATGTGTTTGTGTGTGCATTTGTGTGTTTGTGTGCATTTGTGTGTGTGAATGTTTGTGCATGAGATTGTGTGTACATTTGTGTGTATGTGTGTGCACGCGCGGATGTTTGAATGTGCATTTGTGTGTGTGGGTGTTTGTGCATGCATGTCTTTGAGTGTGCATTTGTGGGTTTGTGTGTGTGTGTGTGTGTGTGTGTGTGTTTTTGTGTGTGTTTTTGTGTGCATTTGTGTGGGTGTTTATGCATGCATATTTGTTCTTGCATGTGTTTGTGTGTGTGTTTGAGTCTTTTCCAGAAAATAAAACTCAACTGTTTCCTGTGTGGGTTGGGTTTAGTTGTAGGGTTTAGGTGTCGGTTGGGGTAAAGTGATTAGAAAATACAGTTTGTACTGTTTAAAAACAATGGAAAGCTTTGAAATGTTCTCACAATGCACAAACGCGTCTGTGTGTGTGTAGGAGCTCAGAAGGAAGGAGCGGCAGGTTTCTTCAAGGGTATGGGTAAGGGTTTAGTTGGAGCTCTGACCAGACCAACAGGGGGCATCATTGACATGGCCAGCAGCACCTTCCAGGGCATCAAGAGGTCAGTGAATGTGGGTCTATCAATGTGTGTGTGTGTGTGTGTGTGTGTGTGTGTGTGTGTGTGTGTGTGTGTGTGTGTGTGTGTGTGTGTGTGTGTGTGTGTGTGTGTGTGTGTGTGTGACCTCCTCCATGACTGTGCTGTGTCCTCAGAGCTGCAGAGCTGTCTCAGGATGTGGAGAGTCTGCGCCCTCCACGCTTCATCCACGAGGACGGAGTGATCCGGCCGTACAGAGAGAGAGAAGGCCTCGGCAGTCAGATGCTGCAGGTCAGACTTCACTGCACTACACTACTCGCACAACAACACAACACTACACTGCATAAAAATAAAATATGACAAATGTGACCCTTAAACACACACCCAGTTTTAATGGAGATCTATTACGCCACTTTTTATAAGGTGTCTCTTAAGATAAGTCTCTGATCACCCTAGAGTGTGTGTGTGTGTGTGCAGTTTAGCTCAAAATACCACAGAAATGATGCTTTCTAACTCTCTGAAACTGACCCTTTTAGGCTTTGATCCTAATTGTGCTGTATTGGCGACTGTCACTTTAAATTCAAATGAGATTGTGCTCTTTTCAAAAGAGGGCGGAGCTACAAATGCCTGTGTGTCAGCATAGTGGCAGATTCAGAAACAAGAATAATGTCCTATGCTAATTAGATAGAGATGGACACTATTGGGCGGGGCTTTCCTTTCTTTAATGACACGTACAAAGGGAGAATGCCAATCAAAGCGTTTCTGCAGACTTTTTCTATCAAGTCGGGTTATAAAAAACAAAATTAATAATTTTTTTACTATTAGAAGCTGGTTATATTCACACACTGTTGCCATACAATTGTTTAAACCCTTTGTAAAATATGGAGCCGGATTAGTCTCAAAAGTAATACGTTTACAATTCACATTTACAAAATTTAATTTGTCAATTCAAAACTCGTAAAGGCTTACATCCATTTTGTAAATTCAAAACACAATTCACCTTCATCTTTCAATTCATCTTTCGTACATTTAAAACACAATTCACCTTCATCTTTCAATTCATCTTTCGTACATTTAAAACACAATTCGTAAATGTGCAAATCTTTCATAAATTTAGAACAAACACAATTCGTAAATTCAAAACGCAGTTCATAAATTTGCAAATCCAATGCGTAAATTTAAAACTCAATTCATAAATGTGCAAATCTTTCGTAAATTTAAAACACAATTTGTAAATGTGTAAATCTTTTATAAATTTAGAACAATTCGTAAATGTGCAAATCCAATTCGTAAATTCAAAACACAATTTGTAAATGTGCAAATCTTTCGTAAATTTAAAACAATTCGTAAATGTGCAATTTCAATTCGTAAATTTAAAACACAATTTGTAAATGTGCAAATCCTATTCGTTAGTTCAAAATACAATTCTATTTCATGAATATAATTATAATTTCTTTAATAGAAATATATTTATAATTTTTACTTGTGAATTCACAAATTGTTTTGAATTTACGAACTGCATTTCTGTAATTTTTAATCGTGTTTTCAATTAACGAATTGGATTTTGTAAATGTGAATTGTGCGGTGCATGTATGATTTTTAATTTTGCTAATGTATTATTTTTGAGACTGATCTGGCTCCATTTAAAATGGAATTTCATAATATATATAATATTAATTCAATTTTTAAAATTATTTAATTAAATTATTAATTAAAAATTTGGAATGGTAGTGTATACATATAGAACACTTTATTTATTTATCTATTTATTTAAAGCTTTGCTAATAAATCCCCACATTGTTTGATGTGTTGTGTAGCTATAGTGATTTAGTGTTGTGTTGGCTGCTCAGTGACTATACCAGTAGTGTTAGTAGTCAGTAATAGTGTAGTATTATGTCTTGTTTCCACTGAGTGGTATGGTACGGTTTGGTACAGGTCACCTTTATCAGGCTTGTGTCTCCACTGCCAAAAGGTACCCTTTTGGTAGGCGTGCTGTACGACAGAAAGTTCGACATCATTCTGCTTGAAGTTCACATATAATACAAGAAGCACTCTTTACAAAACAAAAGCTTTATATACATAAATAAATGCCGCTTGCTTTGTTTTCATTCTCCTGGGTTGTTGCACGAGCGAGTGATGTATCTCTGTAAACCAATAGCATTTAGCTGTGCGTCTGGCTCCACCTTTTGGTACCCTTTTATTGTGCTAGGTACCCTTTGGAAAGGGTACTCAAAAAGGGTACGGTTTGCTTTTTGGTACATTTTGACAGTGGAAATGGGCATAAAAGCATACCGACTCATGAAGTAGCACTCAGTGGAAACGGGCAATTAGTGTACTAATAGTGTAGTGTAAAGCGTCCTCTGACCACAGCTCCTCTTGTGCTGTTTCACAGAGCAGAACTATCGTCTCTCAGTGGAAAACTACTGATGAGGACTCTGATGAGGACCAGGAAAATCAGCTTAATGACTTCTATTTTCAATAATAACACCTCTGTTTGCATTTATGATTCATTCAATCTAATAAGTAGTTAGTGTACAGTAGATAGAGTAGTATGAAAAATATCATTAATAATGTGAATTTTGCTGTTTTTGTGTTGTCTCTTTCCGTCATCTGTCATTTGTCCTCAATAAACGTCTGTTTCTGAGTGCCTTTGTCATTATTAACCCATTCCACGCTCATCAATCCCACAATGCATTACATTTCTGGCAGGATTTCACACAATCACGAGTTCCACACAGTTGATTCGTGTTAGGGCAACATGAAGGAATTAAGTTCACTTATTAGTTTTTACTAATTTAAGTAGATTGAACGTATTAAGTTGAAAAACTCAAGAATTGTGTCATTTCAGCTTATTTTACACAAGTAGTTTGAACAATCAGCAAACGTCATGCTTTTGAGTGTGTGTGTGAGACTTTAGTCTTCTAGAAAACACTGAGAACAAACCTTTGCTTATGTTTTGCATTGATTTAGACTCTTTTTACAAGGGAAATTCTAGAAATTTGCATTCGTGCATGCAGAACATGTTCAAGTCGAAAATGTGAGTGACTCTCTAAAGCAAAATAATGTCAAATATTGGTCAAGTTTGACTTAAAAAAACTGCTGTAATGAATAAGAAGATGAGCTTATTTTAGGTTTTGTTGTCTGAAAATCAGTTGTGTCGTCATATTCACTTCATCACCATATTTCAGGTCATTCATTATCAGATCACGATGTGGACAGAAATGGTTTGACTGCAGAAATTCACAGGATTGTGTTTTTATGTACACTGTTTATTTATTTGCTTTTCTATTTTGTTTGTAGAGTATTGAAAACGGACGGTTTGCCAAGTACAGGTACTTTGCTCACGCTAAAGTCAACGAGTCTGATTTCCTGATGATCACTAAAAGGTAGGAGCATCTTTACAAACACCTCATTTTGCATGAGCACATTTAGATGGAGAGGTGTTTCTGTTTCAACACTAGAGCTACCACACTTACCGCTGTTTTTTAAAGTACGTTCAGGAGGTTGTTATCACAGAATAAAGTCTGACAGGATTATCAGCAGCCCTACATGAAGTGGAGCACTGTTATATAAGACTGAAGGGTTTATTCTGTGAAAACAACCAACCTGGATGTACCTTATCGTCTTTATTACACAGCTACCTGCCACTAAACATAGAAATTAGACACATTACATTGTTCTGAGACGTAATAGTTTATTAATTCGTTAATTAAACACAAAGCTGACAGTAATGAAAACAGCTGATGGAGTATACACTAACCTGCGCATTATTCTGACACATGATGGCGCCAAACAGTCAAAAACACAAAGCTGATAGTAATGAAAACAGCTGATGGAGTATACACTAACCTGCGCATTATTCTGACACATGATGGTGCCAAACAGTCAAAAACACAAAGCTGATAGTAATGAAAACAGCTGATGGAGTATACACTAACCTGCCCATTATTCAGACACAAGATGGCGCCAAACAGTCAAAAACACAAAGCTAATAGTAATGAAAACAGCTGATGGAGTATACACTAACCTGCACATTATTCAGACACAAGATGGCGCCAAACAGACGGAAGCAAGCTAGCGTTTTTCCGCAGCGGTGTCTTTTTAAAATGGGAACTCCTGTTCTGATTGGGCAGTTGAAATGACGTCATTAGCAGTGAATAATGATTGACATCTATCTCGACCAATGAGGAGCTGAAACTGACGCGCTTGAGAAAGAGAATCAAAATACAGACACTTTGCCGTAACACCCAGCTTTGCTTCAGTGTGTGTGTGTGTGTGTGTATTTTCTCCTGCAGGGGGATCTTTTTCGTGACAAAGGGCACGTTTGGTCAGTTGACATGTGAATGGCAGTATCTGTTCGATGAGTTTACTAAAGCACCCATGATTGTGGAAGGCAGGAGACTGCGCATCGAAGCGAAGGTACATGCATGCCCAAGGGGGCTAATAGTTCAGGAGGGCTAATAATTCTGACTTCTACTGTATATACTCACTAGGTACCTACTGTACCTAACCTGAACTTGTATTACGTTGTACTTGCCATGTTGTTAAGTCTTCATCAGCACTTTATTCATTTCTGAAATGCCTGCTCTTTCCGATGATGTAACCAATGGCTTGTGGGCGGGGCTTAATGAATAATATTAACAACAAAGCCTTCTGATGGCATTATTTATGATGGAAAAGCTGATTTGTGCTGTTGTGATTTTGACAGGAGAGAGTCAAGTCAGTGTTTCACGCCAAAGAGTTCGGGAAGATCATCAATTTCAAAACTCCAGAATTAGCAAAGGTATAGTTTGTGTTTATCACTGCTGTAAACAAATGACTGATGTCTAATGCTATGTTCACACCAGACGCGGCATGCGCAGATAAATTGTGCGGTTCACGCGTAAATAAATGTGTACATTTTGAGTTTACTCGCTTCAAGCAATTTGCGTGTCAAACGCACAAAAAGCTCAATTCGTGCTGCGTCATTCGAGCGAGTCGCGACATTTGAGGGAGTCTCGTCATTTAAGTGAGCCGCGACATTCGAGCGAGTCTTGTCATTTGAGCGAGCTGCTACATTCGAGCGAGCCTCATCATTCGAGCGGGTTGCGACACGCGAGTGAGCCTTGTCATTCCAGCGAGGTTGCGACATTCGAGCGAGCCTCGTCATTCAAACGAGCTGCGACATTTGAGTCTCATCAGTCGAACGAGCCACGACATTCGAGTGAGCCACGAAATTCAGTCGAGTCACGAGTTTCTAGCGAGCTGCGACATTCGAGCATGCCTCGCTATTCGAGCCATGTCATTCGAGCGAGCTGCAACATTTCAGCCACGTCATTCGAGCTGCAACATTTGAGCGAGCCGCGAAGTTTAAGTGAGCTGTGACATTTGAGCCACCACATTCAAGCGAGTCTCCTCATTCGAGCGCGAGTCGCGACATTCTTGCCATCTCATTTGAGCGAGCAGCCTCCATCGAGCGAGTTGTGACATTTGAGCAGTCTCATTCGAGCAAGCCACCTCCTACGAGCGAGCCCCCTCGTTCGAGCAAGCCGTATCATTTGAGCAAGCAGCAACATTTTAGAGAGTCACGACATTCGAGCGAGTCATGACATTCAAGCGAGTCACGACATTTAAGCTGCCTCATTCGAGCGAGTCGTGACATTCGAGCAGTGTCATTCAAGCGAGCTGCCAATTTCAAGCAAGCCACGACATTCGAGCGAGTCACGACATTCGAGCGAGTCACGATATTCGAGCTGCCTCATTCATGCGAATCGTGCTGCAGGATTTCACCTGTGTCTGGTGTAAACGCACCATAAGAGACAAAGATTCTGCATCAATTTATCAGGTAATGATAGTAAAAAAGAGAATAAAATCAGAGTGTGACTTCAGCTGCTGTCACACTGGACTATCTCCCCATAGACTTCGTTTCATACGCACACAAATGATTCAAACCGAAAACGCAAGCTCGACACCAATCGAAGATCAAAACTTGATCTCTCTGAACAGAATTTAAAAAATATATATTGACCAATCGCTCGCTTTTTAAAATGTCTAATCATCTTGTTTATTCCCCATATTTATGCCCCTTTTCACAGCGCTGTACAACAGAATTTCGCAAGTACAAACTCTAGTGCAGGCCAACCCTGGCCAACCCTGTTCCTGGAGAGCCGCCTTCCTGCAGATTTCAGTTGCAACCCATATCAAACACACCTGCCTGTAATTATCACGTGGTGTTCAGGTCCTAATTAATTGGTTCAGGTGTGTTTGATATGGGTAGCAGCTGAAATCTGCAGGAAGGTGGCTCTCCAGGAACAGGGTTGGCCACCCCTGCTCTAGTGTGACTGTGGCAGGAGGTTTAGGGGAATTGACCTCTCTAATTAATGCTTGATCTCCCCCCAGTTAGTCAAAACAAGATGAGAAAGAGTGAGAAATAGTTTCCTGTGATCTGTATCTTAAATAATAATATTAACAATTAAGAAAATATGTCATATAAATATACATTTGACCACCCCCATAATGGATCATACCATTGTGAATGCATGATACAATGTGATGCGATTTGATACTGAAGATGAATAAAGCACCAGCTCCTGTAATGCTGTGTTCACACTAGACGTGGAACGCGCGTCAAGCGCGAGTGATTTACATGTTAAGTCAATGCAAACACGCGAATAGACATCCTGCGGCGCGATACACGAGAATGGCGCGATACGAGCGAATGGAGCGTTTTGCGCGTTTCGCTGGAATCGGTCGAGTTCGAAAATCTGAACTTCAGCGGACATTTGCGCCACGTTAACCAGTCAGGAGCTTGCTCTTGTGGGCCCATGATTGTAATGTATCACCTGTTGTTGGTGTCCCGGGGGAAATCCTCCAGCCGACACCGACAAAAAGTTCATCAAACTGGGCTGGGCTCAGTCAGAAGCACCGCTGAAAGCCTCCATCATCCAGGTTCGGTTTCTAGAAGAGTTTATGAGCTCACAGAGCTGGATGCATGCCTGAAAGAATCTAGTGGACTCAGACACGACCCTAAACGTATCGACCCTGTTTTTCAGCCTTCATAAAGCACATAAACACTGTTATTTTCTTCATAAAATCCATGTTAGCCATTTAGCAACGAAGCTAGAGTCACCGGGCAGACTGAAGCCCTGCCCATCACGCGAATCCGCGTCTGTTCTGAAGTGAATTTGACATGCGAATGAAGGCAAGGCAAGGCAAACTTCATTTAAAAAGCACAATTTTATACAACCGTAGTTGATCCAAAGTGCTTTACAATGTGATAAAATATTTAAGAAAACAAAAAAATAAAACTTGTATGAAAAATGTAAGAAAAGGAAATATATGTTATTTGTGTGATGCTAAAATACAGTATAAAAATAACATGTATGAATCACTCAGAGGTAAGGGAGTAAAAATAAGTCTTCAAGTTAGATTTAAAAGTATCCAAGGATGGAGAAATCCTGATGTTCTACGGGAGACTGTTCCATAGCCTTGGGGCCGCAACACGGAAAGCTCGATCCTTTTGATTTGACGCAAGACTGAGGGATCGACAAAAACCACTGATCAATGGAACTTAATGGTCTACAAGCTGTATATGGCCTAATAAGCTCACTGACATAGGCCGGGGCAGAATTGTGCAAAGCTTTATATGTAAAAAGAAGGATTTTAAAATCAACTCTGAAATTGAATTGAAACTCTGAAGCAGGGTTTGACGCGTGAATGAAGCGAGTAAACTCAAAATGTTCACGCGGCTATTTAGGCGCGAATAGCGTGATTTACCCGCGCATTCCGCGTCTGGTGTGAACGCAGCATGAGGATTACTTTGTGTGCAGGATTTACCTAGAACGAGGACACAAATTACTTACAACAAGGAAATGATTTAAAAAATGTTAAAAATATCAGTAAATTAATAAATTGTTTGCATTGTCTGGTAAATTGAGAGAACAAATTAATCAATTGTAGCCCAAAGAACCACTCTTTTTCATAGATTTTAATCATCAAAATCAACGATTTTGCAACAAATAGGTTCAGTGGATGTTTAAATATTCGTCATGGAATCATTAATCCCAATAAAGAACAGATAACAAAGAATTAATAAAGAAAAGCAAGCACAAACGCTGTAAATATAAGCGTGTGATTTGAGTGATGTGTGTTTCTGTTTCTTTTTCTCAGTGGGTTCTTGCCAAGCTTGAAGACGCTCGGGAGAATCTGCCCAAGTGACGCTTGAAGCGACTGCGCTCTGCTCTGTGCCTTTAACAGTGTGACACTTTACCCACAATGCAACAGTCGTTCACTAAACACCCCAAGCTGACTGTTAGACTGTGTGCACGAGTGTTGGGTTTACATCGCACACACCTGCAGACTCATTCACACACAGACACACACTACGTCGTCCTCTACAATGTGCCTCAAGATGCGGATCATGTCTCTTTAACACAAATCCTGCTGAAGTGTAAATGAAGATTGTTTTATACGCGGATTAATAAAGACCAACACACTGTATGTATTTTATTTGTCCTGAAAAAGAGCGGGAATGTCTGAAACTGTATGTACAGGATATTTTTAATACGTGGCTTTGCATGCAATCTTATTTTGATCGTCTGTGTTTATTTAATTGATCCTCCTGCTCGTCCATCAAGACCTGTAACGTAACTCAGATATGCAAAAGTGGATTATTATTATTTAGCGATGGGTGAAAATATTGACGTCTATGAATTGATATTAAAGTCATCCTGAAATCAGCATGGAGTCTGTTTATGTGATGTCAATGATGTTATCAAACTATTTTAATTCAGATTTAAGGTAAACGGCCATTATATAGTTTGATTATAAAATGATTTTGATTCAGATTTTATTCAGTCTTACCCAAAAATGATGCTGAGTTTAACATTGATTTAATGTTAACTTATCAAATGCTAATGTCTTAAAGAGGGCGACACAGTGGCGCAGTGCTGTCGCCTCACAGCAAGAAGGTCGCTGGTTCGAGCCTCGGCTCAATTGGCGTGTCTGTGTGGAGTTTGCATGTTCTCCCTGCGTTCGCGTGGGTTTCCTCCCGGTGCTCTGGTTTCCCCCACAGTCCAAAAGACATGCATGTGTGTGTGTGTGGATGTTTCCCAGTGATGGGTTGCGGCTGGAAGGGCATCCGCTGCGTAAAAACGTGCTGGGTAAGTTGGTGGTTCAATCCGCTGTGGCGACCACAGATTAATAAAGGGACAAAGCCGACAAGAAAATGAATGAATGAATATATAGTCTTAAAGAGACAGTTCACCCAAAAATGAACATTTACTGACTGCTTACTCAGTCGTAAGGGCTTTAAAATCTTTGAGTTCCTGTTAAACACAAAGGAAGATATTTTGAAGAATGCTGAAAACATGGACCTCCATATAGGATAAACAAATACGATGGAAGTCAATGGTTACAGGTTTTCTGCATATTCAAATTATCTTGAGTTCAACAGAAACTGATTGATTTGTTACTATTTGAGGAAACTAATAAGAACTCTTCGAGTTTTTTTAGGAACAGACGTACACTAATTTATATTTAATGTAGTGTACTGCAATTCTTGGAAGTACATTTAAACGAATTGTACTTGCCAGTTATGTATTTGTTTTTCATACATTGAAGTCAATGGTTACCAGTTTTCAACATTCTTCAAAATATCTTCTTTGGTGTTGGAAACAATTGAGGGTAAGTAAATAGCAAATACATACAGCGGTATTTCCATAGTATTTGTTGTCCCTACTATGGAAGTCCGCATTCTTCAAAATATCTTCTTTTGCGTCAGTTTTGTGAGAGCTTTCTGTAAACTACCTGACAAAAGTCTTGTCACCTATCCAAGTTTTAGGAACAGCCAATAATATCTTCTAGTTGATCTTACCCCCAGACATGCTCAATAATGTTCATGTCTGGTGACTGGGCTGGCCAATCCTGGAGCAGCTTGATCTTCTTTGCTTTCAGGAGCTTTGATGTGGAGGCTGAAGTATGAGGAGCGCTATCCTGCTGGAGAATTTGCCCTCTTATGTGGTTTGTAATGTAATGGGCAGCACAAATGTCTTGATAGCTCAGGCTGTTGATGTTGATCATCCACTCTGCAGATCTCTCGCACGCCCCCATACTGAATGTAACCCCAAACCATGATGTTTCCTTCACCAAACTTGACTGATATCTATGAGAATCTTGAGTCCATGCGGGTTCCAGTAGGTCTTCTGCAGTATTTGTGATGATTGGGATGCAGCTCAACAGATGATTCATGGGAAAAATCCACCATCTGCCACCTTTTCAAATGATCAACTAGAAGTCAAGTTATTATTTGTTGCTCTTACAGCTGAGATCAATGACAAGACTTTTGTCAGGTAGTGTTTATGATATTTTTTCATCATTAAAACATTGCATGTTTGAGAAACGGATAGCAAAATCTAAAAATTGGATATTTTTGCAAGGAACGTCTGTTGAACACGAGACAAAAGCTTGTAATCCTGAAGAAAATGCTTAATATATAAATATATATATATATATATATATATATATATATATATATATATATATATATATATATATATATATATATATATATATATAAAAACCATCACATTAGAAAATAAAATGAGCAAACTGAATTTAATTTCTCGTTTTTTATTCATGGCTTCAGAAAAGCATGACATTTTATTGCATTACTCTTGTCATTTTACATTTATTATGCACATATACACACATTTCAATCTTTTAAACGACAGTAAAACCCTTGTTTAATAAATATCATCAAAGCAGAAACGGGCATTAAGAGTTTAAAGGCACTTCAGGTTTTCACTACCACTAGTAAACCTACTGAGGTTAAATACAGAAACTATGAGTCTGAATTTACCCTCTCTCAATTTACTGTCAGAAGCTAAGATTAGTTGCACGAAATTATGCATGTTTAATGAGAGAAACATTATTTACAATGTGAATTCGGACACTAAAATGTTAAATAAATGCCAGTGAATTGGTCAAAGACAGCATCAACACAACAAGATCATTATTAGTTTGTGTACATTCATGACTATCATAGAATAATAACTACTCTTTTTTTTAAACTGTGATTTGCAGAAGAAACCTATTAAAATGTCATTCATTGTAACTAGAACGGAGTATGTGCGCAATGACTTTTAATTTTAAGTGAGACTTTTATTTTGTAGACTCAAGTACTTCCGGTAAACAAGTTTGGCTCGTTTAAGATATAATTTCTTTAAAAAATAAACGATCTTTAGTGCCTGATTGATATGTTATATAAAGAAGTTATCATACTAAACAAGAAGCACCGCATTACATTGCATTGTTTCGCGCCATGTCTTTAAAATATGGAAATTAATTTTACCTCAGGATTTTCAAATGAGTTTCAGCGGTCGCCTGCTTACGTACGGAACCCCGGAAGGGACATAGTGGGGGAGAAAAAAAATGGGTGGGTGAAAAAAAAAATAATGGGTGAAAGAAAAAAAATGGGTGGGAGGAAAATATATATTTCTAAGTTTTTTGCGTTCTCTCGCAAAGTTTTGCGTTCCCTCGCAAAGATGTTTTGCGTTCCCTCGCAAAGATGTTTTGCGTTCCCTCGCAAAGATGTTTTGCGTTATCTCGCAAAGATGTTTTGCGTTCCCTCGCAAAGATGTTTTGCGTTATCTCGCAAAGATGTTTTGCGTTATCTCGCAAAGATGTTTTGCGTTCCCTCGCAAAGATGTTTTGCGTTATCTCGCAAAGATGTTTTGCGTTCCCTCGCAAAGATGTTTTGCGTTCTCTCGCAAAGATGTTTTGCGTTCTCTCGCAAAACTGTTTCTCCACAAACACTTCCTGTTCACTGCACTCACATAAACCCTCCCGTTTTTGCCGAAATTCTCCCGTATTTTACCATTCTATCCCACTTTCTTTACATTACTGTGCGTATGCTACCTATGAACCAGTGAATGCATGTATAAGCGCTGACAGACGCGCTTCGTACAATAAACTGATCCCAGATCAGCGTATGTACACGCCATTTACAGAGGAGCGGGTGTATGTTTAAACAGACAAATACACTGAATAATATGAAACATCTCCGTCCTGCATGTTTTATTTTAAACAGCTTATTTTCTCTTAAATGAGCACAAACAGTTTCTAAAGTAATGGACTGCTTTCATTATAGATCTGTGCATTCTTACAGAGACACCTCTGTTATCAAACTAAACAAAACATGAGATTCATTTGCTGCGCACTTGTTTGATAACAGAAGTGTCCCTTTAAATGGCGCGTACAGACGCTGATCTGGGATCAGTTTATTGTATGGAGCACGTCTGTCAGTCAGCGCTTAAACATGCATTCACTGGTTCAGAGGTTGCAAAGTGAAAGGCGACAATCAGCCACAGTAAAGAAAGTGGGATAGAATAGTAAAATATGGGAGAATTTCGGCAAAAACGGGAGGGTTTACGTGAGTGAAGTGAACAGGAAGTGTTTGTGGAGAAACAGTTTTGCGAGAGAACGCAAAACATCTTTGCGAGGGAACGCAAAACATCTTTGCGAGATAACGCAAAACATCTTTGCGAGGGAACGCAAAACATCTTTGCGAGGGAACGCAAAACTTTGCGAGAGAACGCAAAAAACTTAGAAATATATATTTTCCTCCCACCCATTTTTTTTCTTTCACCCATTATTTTTTTTCACCCACCCATTTTTTTTCTCCTCCACTACGTCCCTTCCGGGGTTCCGTAGCTGCTTCACCTGGCGGCGGTTAACGGTTTTTTATCTCGTTTTACGCCTCAACAACTAAATGAATGTGTAAGTATTTTTACCTGATTATATTTTAATCACATTAAAACAAAATAGATGGTGTGAAAAATAACCGTATGAATTTGAAAATAGTCACATTAATCTTAATCGGTTGCTGAAAAACATTAGCAGTGCATGAAGTTCTCTTTCTTTATATTATTCTTCAGATGGCTAAAAATTATATATATATATATTATATATATATATATATTTTTTTTTTTTTGTAATACGTTTTTAGTCATTTAAAATCAAATTAAACGTTTTATATAGATATTTGACTAATTATAGGTCAAAGTATATACATGGATATATCAGTTGCACAGAATGATGATGGATTATTATTTCCCTCGTAGCTTGACATTTTGTTTTCTGAGGTTATTAGATACTTTACTTGCATTTGAGGGGGTTTGAGAATTAATGTGGTCCACAAAATGCTCTTTGACCCAAATGCCAGTAAATAATTTTTAGATAAAAAAAAAAATAATGATAATAATATCTCATTAAGTCTAGTGTTAAAATAGCTACAGTTGAAGTCAGAATTATTAGCTATCCTGTATATTTTTTCCCCCTAATTTCTGTTTAACAGAAAGAAGTTTTTTCAGCACATTTCTAAACATAATAGTTTAAATAACTCATTTCTAATAACTGATTTCTTTTATCTTTGCTATGATGACAGCACATAATATTAGACATTTTTCAAGACACTGGTATTCAGTTTAAGTGACATTCGAATGCTTAAAGAGGTTAACGTTAGGGTAATTTATTGTATAATGATGGCTTGTTCTGTAGACAATCCAAAACGAATATTGCTTAAGGGGGCTAATAATATTAACCTTAAAATGTTTTATTTTTATTTTCATTATTAGCTCTTTTTTTTTTGCTGAAATAAAACAAATAAGATTTTCTCGAGAAAACATATCGGAAATACTGTGAAAAATTCTGTGCCCTGTTAAATCATTATTTGGGAAATA